GATTCATTTAGGCGCTAACTCTGAGTCCGAGGACATGGAAAGTGACGAGTTAAATGTCACATGTCGTCATCTCTGAATTACGGTAATTTCGTCATGGCGTGAACTAAAAATTCGGCTAAAAACACATCTCTTCCATCTTTATTTGACCCTCTAACTCTAGCACTCTCTATTCTAATTCTATTCTTTATTTTAAAAAATTGCACTCTATACTGTTTGTTTTCTTTTTAAAAAATAACACTAGCTTCTCTATTCTTTTTCTATTCTATCTGTTTTCCTTTTATTTATTATATAATTTAAAAAAAACCTTGCTATGTGTGCTGCGTTAGGCTAACTGAGACTTGTTATAGCATTGCACTTTTGCTGATTTTGATTGCTTCTATTGTCCTCGTTTGTAAGTCGCTTTGGATAAAAGCATCTGCTAAATGACTAAGGCCTGGTTTCACAGACAGGGCTTAGACTAAGCCAGGATTAGGCCATAGTTCAATTAGAACATGTAAGCAATTTTTATAAACGTGCCTTAGAAAAACCATTACTGGTGTGCATCTTCAGACAAAACAAAGGCACTGATATGTTTTAAGATCAATCAGTGCAAGTTTCTTTCAGTTGAAACAGCTCGGACTTACATTTTAGTCTGGGACTAGGCTTAAGCCTTGTCTGTGAAACCGGGGGTAACTGTAATGTAATATAATGTGAACACAGCAGACTCGTTTCAGTTCATGGCCCTCTCTCCTAACGAGCTGAGACTCATGCTCTCACAGTGAGAGCAGCTTGATTCAGTGAGCTTTGGCCAAAACAGGAGACACTCAGAGAGCCTCCGAGGGAAAGAGAAAATCACTCACTGCTCCACTGAATAGCTTTTGTAGCATCATAGGGTGAAGAGTATTTTTTTATTCAACGACTGTAGTATTTATTACTTGAATACTATGTTAGATAGGGCTGCACGATTAATCGAATGCGATTGTCATGCGCATTTAAAAAAAAAAGCCGGTTCTGTAATCAGCAGTAAATCATCACCACGTGCTTTCAGATGGAGCAGCATTTACTACACAGAGCCGTAGTTCACTGACAAGCTACGCAAAAAAAACGCAGACGATTTTAATCGCACGATTATGAAATCGAAGAAATCGTTCGCGATAATGACAGCTGTTTGCATAGCTTCTCAGTGAACTACGGCTCTGTGTAGTAAATGCTGCTCCATCTGAAAGCATGTGAAAATACCACATTTAATAACATATTTTTACTCCAAACTCATAACGTCAGTCGAGTGTTTGAAATAAATCCTTCTGTGAGATGATGTGGCTTCTTACACAGAATAAGGCACGCAACATATTTCATAGTATTTAAGCAGTGATAAAGGCATTGCATAATAAACATATTTTATTTTAATGAAAATTATAATAATAAGAACTCAGATAAACCGTATATTGCCGTAGTCGTGTGTTTATTAGTCACGTTGAATCAATGAAAGCAGTTGAATCTTCGGTTTATTCAGCTGCTGCGATAGGCATTTTCTGGGTTTCTTCTGCGAGGCGTATTTGGAGTTTCAGCGCGAGAGCGCCCTCTGGCCTTTGGATGGAGATTTACTGCTGATCACAGAACCGTGCTTCACTGAAAGATACGCACGACAATCACAGCTTCTGTCGAATCGCGATCTCGATTCCATTTCGATTTATCGTGCAGCCCTAATGTTAGACATATCTGAAAAAACTTAAAACACAATTTCACGTGTCTTTGTTCTGTTATGTTTATTTGTCTTATTGCTCGTAATTGCTTCTTATTTTAACATTCACGATTGTTTATGCGTTTACGTAATAAGTTTTACTTATGAAGCTAGGTTTTGATTTAGATTAGTTATGGCCTTGATTAAAATGCCACCTAGTTTTAATCATATTTTAGTAACCTGAATTGTTTTAGTATACTAAATATCATAAGATTTTAGTCGACTGGTTTAGTTAAATTGTAATGCATCACCGAAATAAGAACAGGAGCAGTTTGCAAAAATAATGCACTGAATTGAGATGCAATTTATGGAATATCTTCACTCTGTGAATGTTTGCTGGACAGTTTAAATCCATGCAACTTCAGTAATAAAATGAATTCAACAAATAGCTTTACTGTTTTAATCATTTAATAAGTTTAAATGAAGACCAGAAAAATTATGGCTCATGAAAACTGAACTTTATAACTCTAATGTCAGTCTAATGTCAGTTTATATGATCATAAACATTTTCAAAAATATTATTAATAGAGTAAAAACTGTGTAATGGGAATAGAAACCAACCTATTTTCTCCTCAGTATCTTCATCTTTCACTCTGCACGGATCTGGAATTCCCATTTCTTCATTCTCTTCTTTAATAAACTCCATGTTTGTAATATTATGTCACACTGATCTCAGTTGTTCCACATTGAGTTTTTCTATTTGTTGGCACGCTTCGCCATGTTTAGGATGATGAGGATAATGAACTGAAAATTAAATAATACATAAAATAAGTAATTAAAAACAATAGTCTTTCTGCAACTCGACTTACACGTCGTTTATACAGTCACTAATGCAGCTCCATTACATTTAACACTCTACCTTAATTTGCAATACATTTCTAAAAAAAGAAAAATGCTCTAAATCAGTTTAAACGCCTTAAATACGGATGGGTTCAAGTCCACAAACCTCTCAGCCGAACCCCAGCATACGCCGGCGCGGAATTATGACGCCAACACGCATCAAAATAAAAGTCTTGTTCGTTCGCTGTTTCCATATTATATTGAGGATGAAATATACGGACACGGGATAATTTTATCTGGTGAAATTAAAATTAAAATACACATGTCGTACAACGATGTGAAAATACTACCAAGCGGGACTCCACTCAGAATATATATTTACACTGTTTATGTAAGTATAATTAAAATTACGTTTTGTGGTATTGAAATTAATAATTTGTTAATTTTATTATTATTATTAGTAGTAGTAGTAGTAGTATCCCGTAACATATGAACAAGACTTTTATTTTGATGTGTGTTGTGTGATGCGTCATAATGCTGCGCCAGACTAGTTTGTTGTTGTTTTGAGCCCATCAGTATTTACGGTGTTAGAGCGCTCAGATGGATTTAAAGTGTTTACAGCTGTACTACAGCACAACAGTAAGTACTACATGCTGTAATGGGGTTATGTGAAATGAGTAACAGAGAGATTATTTCAGGTAATTATTCATCTTAAACATGAGCAAACCAAACAGCTTAGAGATCTACTTAACATAATATTATAAGCATGGAGTTTATTAAAGAAGAGAGTGAAGACACGGGTGATCTAGAAGCAAGCGAAATAAAGGATGCTGAGCAACAAACAGGTTTGATTCATCACTAATAACTTCTGTAGAATGAAATGCCTTAATGCCCAGTATGTGCTGGGGTTGCTCTTATCCTCTGGTTATGAGTTACAGACATTATTCCTGTAGGTTAAGTTTGTCACATGTTCCTAAGCAGCCTAAACTTATACGTTTACAAAAAATAGGACGTTCTGATAATGTGTTTGACTTGGAGGAATCAGGGCCGGATTTAGTGAATTGGGGGCCCCAGGCAAAATATAGGAATGGGGCCCTATACATTTGCACACATTCCCTTTTATAAAGTAAATTTAGAAAAACATTTGGAGTATTTTTTTGTTCATTAAATGTACGTTTTTTTGTATTTTTAAGTAAAGGCCAGCGGCAGACAATGAATTGATCATAGCCTATAGCCTATGTTTGATCAATTTAGCCTTCTCAAATCATCAGGACTTGCCTAAAAAATATGAATATTAGTATTGTAACTTGTGTAAAATAAAATAAGTAGCCTATTTTTCATTATCAAATATTAGTTTCTTTTTACAGTGTAATTGTACTTTACAACAGTAACATATTTCTTAAAACTAATAATAATTAAATGATTAAAATATGAATAATATAGTGTCCCTTCAGTTGGACATACATTCAGTTATGTCTGACAACTTGACAAATATATTGTCAATACCATTACAATTAAGATAAAAAAAATGAATAGTCTTTAAGTATTGAGGAGAGGAGTAGTTACACAAACAGCGTGAGTGAATCATGCACTCTTTCCTTTTCAAAATGTGTAAATGGTTTCAAATGAACAGTAAAAATGAACATGGATTGACACGAAAATGTAGTAATTACACAATAAATGCATGCTACTAAAGTCTACTGTGTTTCACAGTCAACACCTATGGCTCTTTAGCTAGGTTTAAAACACTAGATAAACAAGGCAACCGATGCACTCGTGGAGGTAGAAAAACCACAAGATTGCTTGTAATAAAGATTTAAATGCAAAAGAAAAGCTGACTGTTTTAATTTACAGCGTCTGTGATCATGTAAGAAAAGTAATTGTTTTACAACTTGCTTGAGCAAATATAAAAGAAAATATCAAAGTAGTTTAAATGTTTTGCCACTTGCTTGAGCAACTTAATATGTAAATCTAGAAGTAAAACGCGTTGAATAATGCGTTGCTTATATTTATTGCAAATGTGTAAAATTCAATAATTTGTACAGGGAGCCACATTGAGATCTAATATCTATAGAACCATGAATACGTTTTTTTTTTCTCTCAGAAACTTCATCTAAAAGGGTATCAAGTTATCTATAATACAGTTCTGGAGCTACATGTGTGCCATGCCTTTGGAAAAGCACACGAAAAAGTGCTTTTTCCGATTTATGGATTTAGCCTATATATGCCATTGGCATAATGCAATCAATATATTGCTAAAGAAGATCAAAAGACTTACTTTGATAACAGGCCTTCCAACCTCTGTATACAAATGAAATAATGATGCTTTTATCGAGTTATATTTCCCCACTTGTTGCATCGTGAATGTTTTGGGGCTAAAAGGGATATCTTGAGATAAATTGGACAAAATCAGACCGACTATTGCGCAACAGTCCAGTAGGCGGCGGCATGCATTCAGCCAACAAACCAAAGAAGAAGAACAACACACGGTTCCGTTCAAAGTTATGCAGCGCATCTTACATCTACTCAACGCACTTCAACAGCCATAAAGAAATACGCGAGGTCGGATTCAGGTTAATAATTGGTTAAATATATTTTCATCGACAAAACGTGGCAAACAAGCAGGAGTAACTCCAGATGAAACTACGGATCGTTTCTATCTAGTACATCTTTTTGCAATTCAAACATACTGTTATAACAATGGAGTTCATTAAAGAGGAAAGTGAAGACTTGAGTTATTCAGAGCCATGCAGAGTGAAAGATGAAGGTACTGAGGAACTGAGAGGTTTGTGATCATTCTTCAATCATTCATGACTGATTAAGGCACAAAGTTTCAGCAGCTTCACGGTATTTACACACACAGTCACGGGAGATGTGAAATAAATGGGTTTAAGGAAAACAAAAAAAACTATTTCATCTGGAAGAGGTGTTTTTAGAGCGTTTTCTCATCTGCAAGACCTCTATGAGACGTTTCACGTCAGATGTTAAATAGATATTTATAAAGTGTCTTGTGATATACGATGCATGTAACAGACTTTTTTGATTTCTTCTTCAACAGATGAATTTCTCTTTAAGATGTTTTGAGGACGTACCTGAACATTACCCTGCTGAAAAAACAATATCACAGAAATTCTAATGATTTACACATACCATTACAAACTATCAACCATTAAAACCATTAAAAAATGGTTTCCTGTAGTGTATTTTGGGACATATTCCATTAGGATTTATTGGTTTTCACAAGCCACCAATAGAAGGCGACCAATTGATGTTTGTAGACGTCTCTGTCGACTGCCAGTGCGAATACAACCAGGAAAACGGCCAGTTCCTATAACTATGTTTCTAGAACTATGCGTTGTGAAAGCTCCTATGGTCTCACGAAACCAAACTGGATGTTTGGGCCATATTTGCCATGCACAGTTCTGCACAGTTTCGGCATAGTGCCACCTAGTGGTCTGGAGATATGAAAATGGCTATTTTTGCTTATAACTTCTGAATGGTTTGGCCAAAAATCACAAAACGTTTCCCCCCCCCTAAAATTCGGTGAGGCATGCTGAGTCAAACCATACCCAATTTTCCCATGTCAGCCATTTTGGGCGTCAGCCATTTTTATTTGTTTTTTCATAAAATGCTATATTTTACAAACACATTGGCATATCGTTACAAAATTCAGTATGTGTCTCAAAATGTTTTGGGCCAAAATTTATAATAAAATTTCCAAAAATGCTAATAAATAATGAGTGTATTAACCTATTGTAATGAAACTCAATATATTCTTTGGGTCATGCTGACAACATAGATACCAATTTTGCCATAGTCAGCCGAACTTTCTTTTTGCCAATTTGATTTTCTGAAAAAACATGCTTTTTTTTTTAACTCCTCCTAGATCGTTCATCCAATTTTCACCAAATTTGACCCAGAACATCTTCAGACCATGCTGGCAAAAAGTTATGGATTTGGTGTCAATATATGAAATGGTTATCGTTTAACACATCAATGAATTAGCTGGAATGATACCAAAATTACTGTATTTGTGCAAAGCTTTGAGATATTGACACCAAACTTTGTGTGTGCCATTTTCACCTCACATTGAGTTTTCACCAAGAGTGCCACCTATTGGTCAAAAGTGATAACCCATTAAATCATATTAGTAGTGCTTGTATTTATGATTTTTCACATTTGTTTTTGACTAAAATCATCTTCAAAATGGCATCAATAACTCATTGCTGTAGTTGGTGTGATGTTTGCTGGCTTGTTGCTTTTGTAGTGCTTGGCCCTGAAAATTGCTGCTTGCTGCTATATTTTTACTTGATTTATTCATCTTAACAAGCTGCAGTTCTACAGAGTACATATTACATCATCATGAACACAGATAATCAGATTTACAAAAATACATCCTTGCATTAACAGACAAGACCCTGCAATCACTCAAAAGGGATTCGCCTCTAGTTTCAGAAATGCATTCAATAAATTATGATCTTTTATATAAACACAAATACAGACATTGGCAATAAGAATACAGTTCACAAAGAAGTAAGAACATGTTGATACAAGGACCGACACACAAGAATTCCCTTTCTTGGAATACATTTTGACTGTTTGTTTTGTTCTCACTTTAGATTTGATGAAAGTGAAGGAAGAAAACGACCTGAATGACTTTGACGAGAAGCACCATTACTATCAGAATTCCTCTGATTTCAGTCCAGCAGAAAAACCTTTTAGTTGCTCACAGAGCGACGAGCATTTCAGCCAAGACGAGACTAAACGAAAGCAAGCCAAACGTTCATTAACCTGCCCTGACTGTGGAAAGAGTTTCAGACAAAAATACTTCCTGACGCTGCACGTAAGAGTCCACACCGGAGAGAAGCCGTTCACGTGTGTGGAGTGTGGAAGGAGTTTCCCACGTAAAGACAGGCTTAAAACACACATGAGAATCCACACCGGAGAGAAGCCGTTCAAGTGTCCTCAGTGCGGGAAGAGATTCAGAGAGAAGAAAAACCTTCAGATTCACATAAGAGTTCACACTGGAGAGAACCCCTTCACCTGCCTTCAGTGCGGAAAGAGTTTCAAACAAAAATCAAACCTGAACACTCATATGTGGAAACACACTGGAGAAACGCCTTTCACGTGTCATCACTGCGGAAAGAGCTTCACATGCAAGGGGAACCTTAAAATTCACGTGCAAATTCACACCAGAGAGAAGCCGTTCAAAAAAAAGAGCTCACGTGTGCTCCGAGTGCGGCAAAGCCTTCACTAGAGCCTTGCTAAAATGCACCAAAGCATCTGAAAATGCATCTGAAAAAATGCATCTGAAAAAATGCATCTGAAAATGCACCAAAGCATCTGAAAATGCATCTGAAAATGCACCAAATAATCCACACTGGAGAAAAACCCTACAAGTGCTCATTGTGTGTAAAGAGCTTCGCGGAGTCTGGAAACCTGAATAAACGCGAGCGGGTTCACGCCGGATAAAAGACGTATCACTGCGTGCGCTTCATGCAGGAGGAGATTCTGTTCATTAAGAAATCTACAGACTCGCTCACTGGCCGAAGAAATGCACACCATGTAAATGGTACAAAAGGCAAAGATAGAATTGTTCGCAAAGGAAAGATTGAGTGGCAATAACAAAGTAAACAGAGTAGTGGTTCATAAACACATGGGATATAATGTTAAGACAAAAAAGAGGGTCTAAATGTAAAATGTATGTATTTGAATTGCAAATAAAACTTCAATCCATTTGGATTACACATTTTTAGCATGAACAGACATGAGTTTGTGTCTTCATCAGATTCTGAGAAATGCAGCATTGCATCAGTGTCTCAGCAATGGATGCTCTGCAGTGAATGGGTGCCGTCAGACTGAGAGTCCAAACAGCTGATAAAAACATCACAATAATCCACAAGTAATCCACAGCACTCCAGTCCATCAGTTCACATCTGGAGAAGACAAAAACTGAAACTAATCCAGCATTACAACGTTGTTAACTAAAATACAAGTTCATAATCCATAATAATGCTTTGTTTGGACTCTCATTCTGACGGCACCCATTCACTGCAGAGGATCCATTGGTGAGCAAGTGATGCAATGCTACATTTCTACAAACCTGATGAAGAAACTTTTGGGGAAGTCCAGTCATACATACAAATGAAACTAGCTAACTAACTAAATAAATACAATTAAAATGCATTTATTCAAATTGCTTAGAATCAGCACAAATCTGTTCATTATGAAAACTATTCATTTAAAAAAAAAGTATGAACTTAAAACAATTTAAAATATGTCTAGTGATGGAACAAAGGATATTCAATTAGTTAAAATGTATGAGATTGAAACAAATTGGATTTATTGATGATAAATATATAAACCTGGTTATTGTGTGTTTAAAACATTTATTAATATTATTACAGAAATCTGTTATCAATACCTGTTTCATTTATGTATGACTGACAAATGTGCATCACATTAAGTTTATGTTAATAATCCAAATGGATGAATATTTTATATGGAATTCAAATACATAAATCTTAGATTTAGGTCTATAGGAATGTTTGTACTTACATGTTTGGGAGGAGCAATAGTGCCAAATTAATTATCAATGACATTGATATCTACTTACCTGATTTGTTATTTCCATTCAAAACCATCTTGTTAAACTGAGCTGTTGTTTTGAGAATTATTGTGTGCCTGCTTTACAGTAAGCAGTCTTCTTTAGCCATGTGTTTGCTATTATTGATGCATAACATATTTTAGTAATGTTGTTTATTATTTTCTTTGAAGCTCACATATGTGTAGTGTGTATAGTGTATATTGTTCTAATTATGAAATTACTAGAAATACAATAGAGCACTGACTGATTTCACGAGAACAGAACCTGTAGTTTGAAATCTGATTATGAGCATTATAAAATTTAATATATACTAATTATGAGTGCTCAATTTTTTGGGCTTGATTACGTAATCCAGATTACATGTAATCGATTGCTACCCAGCACTTGTTAAAGGGATAGTTCACCCAAAAATGAAAATTCTGTCATCATTTCCTCACCCTCATGTCGTTCCAAAGCTGTACGAGTTGCTTTCTTATGTTGAACATAAAAGAAGATATTACATAGTAGGAAAAAAATACTATGGAAGTCAATGGCAACCACCAACTGTTTGATTACCAGCGATCTTCAAAATATCTTCTTTTACGTTCAACATAAGAAAGCAACTCGTACAGGTTTGGAACGACATGAGGGTGAGTAAATGACGACAGAATTTTCATTTTTGGGTGAACTATCCCTTTAAGGGGAATCAGAAGGGGATCTGGCGCCCCGTTATTGCGCAACAGCCCTATAGGCGGCGGCGGCGTGCAGTCGGTCTGCGAACCGCCATCAAACCAACGAAGAAGAAGAAGTTGTGCGGCACGCTTCTTCATCAAGAAACACGCTTTAAAGTGTTGCCAGGTCCGTGTGCACTTTAATTAAGAAATATGCGAGTTGGCATACAGGTGCATAATTGCGCATATTCTCATAGTCCTTGAAAACTAATCTTCACGTTAAGCAAGCAGGAGTAACTCCAGACGAATCTACAGAGATCTGTGTAGTACATTACATACTTTTGCAATTCAAACGCACTGTTTATAACGATGGCGGTTATTAAAGAGGAAAGTGAAGACTTGAGTTATTCAGAGCCATGCAGAGTGAAAGATGAAGGTACTGAGGAACTGAGAGGTTGGTGATCATTCCTCAATCATTCATTACTGATTAAGGCACAAAGTTTCAGCAGCTGTATTTCGTGGCTGTATTTTTACAATCATAGGAGCTGTGAAATAACAAACGATGAATGTAGAATCGGCAGATAATGGGAGAGAGATTAAACAAAATATTATTTCGTGATGTATGTAGAAAATGTCTAAATAATGTTTGTGATTTAGAATGCATGTAAAACTGAGTTTCTACAGACGCTTATCAGGGGCCATATTCACAAAACATCTTAAAGCGGTGGTTCACTGGGTTTCTTTCTAGGCTTGATTGTGTTTATAGGGTGCAGTCTAACATGTGTTAATGCTTCGTTTTTAAAATCAAACACATTATTTTTCACATAATTTACTTTTATTCCACACCGCTCTGTCCCTTCTCTGAGAAAAGCGCTGATCATTTCCTGCTTTTATGAAGCCCCTCCCTCAGAAATAGGCGATGGGCTCTGATTGGTTAGCTAGCCCAGTGTGTTGTGATTGGCTAAACCGCCTCTAGTGTGTGTCTAAACGTCCCGCCCCTCACCTCAGCGGCATGTGCTCCGGTTGTAAACAACGGCGTCGTTAATATCGCTTATCAGTTTGAGCTCGATTGAGAAGCAGAGGATATTATTGAAGAGGATCGTGCAGAACCTGTGCAAGCACAGCTTTTAAAAGAACCGCTGCTTTTGAAGATTGATTTTGAAACGTGTGAATCCATTAGAATCGTTAGAAGACAGAATCGCGATTCATATATGAACAGATTTTTACATGCACCTCTAGTTTTCTCATCCTCTTCTCTAAAGCAGCGCAGCATGGCCCCGCCCCCTTTGCTGCCTTTTACCGAGGGCGGGGTTTATCTGGGTTTGTGATGTCACGAACCCGGGAAGTAACTTGTTGTAGTCCCTACCAGCCGTTTTTGTAGGCATTAAACTGCCAGAATTTTAAAAGACGATATCTCCGTTTGCATTGAACTTTCAGCTTCATAACTTTGCTGATATTGTTTATGCTCAAACAGCAACATTACACACTAACGTTAAAAAAAGTGAAACCGCAATGAACCACCCCTTTAAGGCTAAAAGTAGCTCCTAACTAGCCGATTTAGAAGAAACTCTTAAAAATAATAGACCAGATAGTCCTAATTTCAGGATTTCTACATTTTTGCTCTAAGAGTAACGTTACAGAGTCACAAAGCGTTTAAATGCTAAAACCAGCTCCTAAATCTGTGAAAACAGTCAAATCACAAACCAAAATCCCCAAAATGGCTGTTGCCTGCAATCTGCCTCAGAACATAAACAATTTAGAAACATTTCAGGATAATTTCCCTTCAATTTAATTATGTACTTCTTTTCATGTACAAGTTGGGCAAGAAATAATAGCTGTTCTTGCATTTAGTGTGTGTGTTTATTTATATATTTTTTAATGTTTTACATCTGCACATCATCTTAGTATCAGCCATGATTATTCTAGTCTATTAATTAAAAGGCTGCTTATATGTATATCTGCTAATGGTTTATGAGATGCATTCATGTAAGAGGCTGACAATTACCTGAACTTAAACTTGTTAAACTAAGTTCAGCCTGCATTTTAAAAACTATTTGAATATGGCAACATTTTTGTTTGAAAATCTTTAAAATCTTTAATTTAAAATTTTTATTTGGATATGGGAACATTTATTTTTTTAAATCTTTATTTGAATCGGCAACGTTTTCTGCAATATTTCTGTGATTGACTGACAGCCAATCATTCAGCCAATCATAGTTAGTAAGCTTGATGACATCATCCATAGCCACAAGCTTAAGATTTCTCCCCATTCCTTAGTAAAAGTTGCTCTCAGCCACTTTGTGAACAGGTTTTACAAGGAAACTCTTACATAAGAACTTCTTCTGCTATTCAGGAAAACTCTTCGTGCTAAGATATAAAATGTTTTGTGAATACGGCCCCAGATCTTTCTACACAGCAGATAATTTCCAGACGAAGCACTCTTTAGACATCTTGGAGATGTTGGTGTGCTATGTGGGATGGTCTCAGTGAAAAGCAGTAAAAAATAGTTCTTTACAATCAACAAAGTAGTGTTGTCAAAAGACCCGGTACTTCGGTACCAAGTCTGTACTAAAAAAATGAAAAAGTTTTTTTAAGTACCGGTGGTACCGGTGGTACCCGGTCAACCCGGTTCTTGATGCTCTATCCGAAAGGTGCGCAGATGTGTTCTCTTCATAAAAGCACTGAGACGTGGCGACCTCAAAATGAGGAAACACATCAAACTAACAAAACATTTTTTTTTTTTTAAGCTAATTTAGTTGTTATTCTTGGCTGAATAACTCTAGAAGGTTTTAAAAGCCCTTTAAAATGAAATATGCACACAGTTTGGATTAAATGGAAGTATAGTCAAATTTTTTAATTAGAATGTTTTTGTGTTTTGCTTTGGTACCGAAATTGGTACCGAGAACCGTGGATTTTCACTGGTATTGGTACAGAATACTGAAATTTTGGTACCATGACAACACTACAACAAATAGCTTCTTGATGAATGTATGATGTTATTAAAACTTATCTTGCTTTTAAAAAAAACTAAATTGAATGCGTTGCAGAGTGACATAACAACTGAATATTTTTATTTTATTCGCACTTTAGATTTGATGAAGGTGAAAGAAGAAAACGAAAAACTGAATGACTTTGACGAGAAGCACCACGACTATCAGAATTCCTCCGATTTCAATTCTGAAGAAAAACCTTTTAGTTGCTCACAGAGCGATGAGCATTTGAACCAAGAGCCTTCATTCACCTGCCCTGAATGTGGAAGGAGTTTCAGTCAAAAACAACATCTGACCAGACACATGAGAGCTCACACTGCAGAGAAGCCGTTCACATGTGTGGAGTGTGGAAAGAGTTTCACACACCACGAAAGGCTAAATACGCACATGAAAATCCACACCGGAGAGAAGCCGTTCACGTGTCCTCAGTGCGGAAAGAGATTCACGCAGAAATCAAACCTGAACACTCATTTGAGGATTCACACTGGAGAAAAACCCTTCGCATGTCATCACTGCGGAAAGAGCTTCACATGCAAAGGAAACCTTAATATGCATGTGCGAATTCACACCAGAGAGAAGCGGTTCACATGCCCTCAGTGTGGACTGAGTTTCACTGAGAAAAAAGTCCTTAAGAATCACATACGAATTCACACTGGAGAGAAACCCTTCACGTGTCTTCAGTGCGGAAAAAGCTTCACTCGGTCAGGATCCCTGAAAATACACGAGCGACTGCACACCGCAGCGAAGCCGTATCACTGCGCTTCATGTAGGAGGAGATTCAGTTTGGTTTTCTTTCATATCTGCACATCGTCTTACTATCAGCCTTGATTATTCTAGTGTGTTAATTAAAAGGCTACATGTATATCTGCTAATTGTTTATGAGATGCATTCATGTAAGAGGCTGACAATTACCTGAACTTAAACTTGTTTAATTGGTGACACTTGGCCTACATTAAAACATTTTTTTTTGAATATGGCAACATATTTCCATCTAAAAAAATCTCACAAAATCTGTAATTTAAAGTTTTTATTTGGATATGGGAACATTTACATTTTAAAATCTTTATTTGAATTTGGCAACGTTTTCTGCAATATTTCTGTGATTAAATGACTGACAGCCAATCATAGTTCCCTTTCAGTCGGTCAATATCGACGTCACGTCGGTAATTACAGACGAATTGGGATCTCGCTTAGAGACAAATCCACTTTGATTGTAAACTAAACGAGCCAATGCACATTGGCATGTGATGATTGCATCCAGCTGCCGCTTATCGCAGCGCAAGTATAACTTGGCAGCAGGTGCAACGCATACTCAAGTATAACTTGGCAGCAGGTGCAACGCATACTCAGCTTTTCGCTTCGGAGCCGAGCGATCACATCGTTTTGCTCCGGACTACTCTACTGAGAGAAGAAGACTGAACGTGTTCAGCGTGCTCTTTGGAGCTCTTGGTGTTGGCAGTATGGCGCTTCAGCGGTGGTGATTTTCCCGTGTCGAGTGGGTTGCACACATCAGGCTGCACTACCACTGTTTGTGTTGCAGCGGCCATCTCCCCTGTGCGCTTCAGCAAGCTGAAAGAGCTTTTTCCCTAAAAGAGCATTCATGTGTGCGTCTTTTTAAAGACGACATTGCGTCTGGCAAACGCAACGTTGTGTTTTTGTAAAGACGATGTTGCGTCTTTCTACAGACAACGTATCACCCGTGCATTTCTGGATGCGGTCGTTACCTGGTGTCGGGTGATGGTCATGATCTCTGCCTCGCGTGTCTGGGCATTAAGCACGCTGAGGCGGCTTTCGTGGATGAGTCATGTTCTCATTGCGGGAAGATGACCATCTGGTCGTTGCGGGCCAAGCTCCGTTACCTCAAATGGGGCGGAGCTCCGTTGCTTCTGCCTCGGATCTATTTCTTGTCATGGCGGCAGTCAGGCAGGGGCTACTTCAGGCAGTAGCACGGGCGGTCTGAGGATATCAGTGATGGCAAACCCTTAGCGTACCAGCTGTATCCTTTGGCGCTCCTCCCGATGATAGGATGTCGATCGCTGCATCAGAGGGTGAGCCGGAGCTTTCTGGAGAGGAAGCTCCGCAGCCAGTTGAGCTGCCAATGGAACGTGCTGGGCCCTCTACAAGGAGCGTACCAGCTGTATCCTTTGGCGCTCCTCCCGATGATCGGATGTCGATCGCTGCATCAGAGGGTGAGCCGGAGCTTTCTGGAGAGGAAGATGCGGCTGCGCTGCTGCCCTCTGGGGCTGTAGCAATGCCTGAATCAGATCTGGAAATGACGGCTATGCTTTCCCGGGCCGCCGTATGGGTAGGGCTCGAGTGGAGACCGCCACCGTGTCCCGAGCCCTCAAGGTTGGACGATTGGTTCTTCGGGGTGAACAGCGCCCCAGCCTGCTCGTCGCCGAGGGTGGCCCCCTGCGTCAACCCCCGCTCCCACGCCGCATCCGCAGCAGCCTCGAGCAACGGCGCCATGGAGCTGGGCGTAGGCAGGCCTCCCCACCCGTCCAGGCCCCCGTCAAACCTGGCGGTGAGTGGAAAAGCAAAGAGGCCCCGGGATGGGCGACCCAGAGACAGAGGGAACTGCTCTTTGGGGGATGGTGAATGCCCCTCTCCCTCCCCCGGAGGAGGGCCGGGGGGAGAATCTGGTTTCCAAAAATCTCGACAAGAGAGTGGTTTTCTCTGTCTCTGGGTCCCAAGAGGGCATGGAGAATCACGGATGAACCAACACCGGACCACCGGACTCATCCTCCGCTCTCGCCAGCAGGCAGCAGCGGGCGTTTCGAGAGCGTTATCCATGGCCCTACTCACGCACCCTCTGCCAAACCATAGTACCAGGTAAGCATTGTACCGCACACTCAGACCCCTCTTCTAGTTACTGTTCAAGATGTTGACGCAGAAACGCATCTTCGGGTGCATCCGTCCCCGAGATTGGTTTGCAGCGATCGACCTGAAAGACGCGTACTTTCATGTATCGATCCTTCTGCACCACAGACCATTGCTGTGGTTCGTGTTTGAAGGACGAGCATATCCTGCAATTGCTGCGTACCATGACCCCGTGGAAGAGAAGTTGGTAGGGAGGCATGACTTGGTCGTCAGTGTCCTTAGGGGGGCGAGAAGGTTAAATCCTCCCTGGCCCACCTCTATACCCTCTTGGGACCTGACTCTAGTGCTCAAAGCACTACAAGCACCATCTACGAGACTCGCTTATGCCTTGAAGTGGAACCTGTTTGTCAAGTGGTGTTCTTCACACCAAGAGGACCCCCGAAGATGCCCGATCAGAGTCGTGCTGTCCTTTTTGCAGCAAGGGTTGGAGCGAAGGCTGTCCAAGATCTCTTTCGCGCTTTTAAAAACATGAATAAATCTAATCAACTTTAATAAATCAAGCATGTCCCATTTTGCAGAAGTCACGTTACACAATTTTACTGATTTGCATTTAAAATTGGGCTTTTATGGAGGAGCGAAAGCACACCGCTGGAAAAGGGGGCGGAATGGGGCACAATAATTGTTTTATCTCGATTATTGTATTTTCATAATCGTTGGAGATCGAAATCGAAACCATATTTCGATTAATTGCACAGCCCTACTCAGCAGCTTTGTGAACAGGTTTTACAAGGAAGTTCTTACATAAGAACTTTTGCTGCTATTCAGGAAAACTCTTCGTTCTAAGATAAAATGTTTTGTGAATATGGCCCCAGATCTTTCTACACAGCAGATAATTTCCAGACGAAGCAATCTTTAGATGTTTGTGTGCTATGTGGGGTGGTCTCAGTGAAAAGCAGTAAAAAATAGTTCTTAACAATCAACAAATAGCTTCTTGATGAATGTATGATCCTATTAAAATTTAACTTGCTTTTAAAAAGACTAAACTGAATGTGTTTCAGAGTGACAACTGATTATTTTGACTCTTTATTTTATTCTTGCTTTAGATTTGATGAAGGTGAAAGAAGAAAACGAAAACCTGAATGACCACGACTATCAGAATTCCTCTGATTTCAATTCTGAAGAAAAACCTTTTAGTTGCTCACAGAGCGATGAGCATTTCATCACCTGCCCTGAATGTGGAAGGAGTTTCACACAAAAACAACATCTGACCAGACACATGAGAGCTCACACTGCAGAGAAGCCGTTCACATGTGTGGAGTGTGGAAAGAGTTTCACACACCACGAAAGGCTAAATACGCACATGAGAATCCACACCGGAGAGAAGCCATTCACGTGTCCTCAGTGCGGAAAGAGATTCACGCAGAAATCAAACCTGAACACTCATTTGAGGATTCACACTGGAGAAAAACCCTTCGCATGTCATCACTGCGGAAAGAGCTTCACATGCAAAGGAAACCTTAATATGCATGTGCGAATTCACACCAGAGAGAAGCGGTTCACATGCCCTCAGTGTGGACTGAGTTTCACTGAGAAAAAAGTCCTTAAGAATCACATACGAATTCACACTGGAGAGAAACCCTTCACGTGTCTTCAGTGCGGAAAGAGTTTCACGCGGAAATGCAACCTGATGATTCACATGAATATTCACACTCGCGAAAAACTCTACAAGTGCTCACACTGTGGAAAGAGCTTCACTCGGTCAGGATCCCTGAAAACACACGAGCGACTGCACACGAAGCCGTATCACTGCGCTTCATGCAGGAGGAGATTCAGTTCATCAAGAAATCTACAGATTCATAGAAAAACATGCTGCTCACTGGCCAAAGAAATGGACACTAGGTAAATGGTACAAAAGCCAAAAGTGGAGTTCTTCCCAAAGGACATGTTGAGGGGCAGTAACAAAGGAAACTGAGTGTTAATCAATAAATAAAAAAGTATGATGTTAAGACAATGAAAATGTAATATATAGTTCAGTCATGAAACTCTATAGACGGCCCAGGCGACGGGTTGTTAATGTAACCGATGATATTCAGAGAGTTAAATGACTTGGCACAAGCTGATTGGTTCATGCTGCATATGCAGCCAATGAGCTTTCTGTCTTGCATTTATATGGCTGGCTAGCATTCACTAGAGATTCCTGCAGCGCGCATTCAGAGTTTCTCTGAAACCCTCCACCTTCCCCACCTCCACCTGTATAGATCTGCTACGGCTTATTTTATAAGCTATTTGTGCAGCAGCAGCATGTCTTAAATACTCGCAGCACTGTATCGCTGTATGCATTGGCAGTAGCAAGTTCCTGTACTTGCTTGCAGCAGCATTAATCTACAACTACAGCAATAACCAACAGCAGCAGCAGCAGCAGCAGATCTATTCCGCCAAGACCAAATACATTAACATTGTCATATCCATCACCATGTTCAATCTTCAGAGAGTTGTCATGATTGAAATAAATTTAAAATGTATGTACTGGAATTAATTTCCATTAATTTTGATTCTACAGTTTTAACATGAACAAACATGAGTTTGTTTCTTCATCAGATTTGGAGAAACGTAGCATTGCATCAGTGTCTCAGCAATGGATGCTCTGCAGTGAATGGATGCCGTCAGAATGAGAGTCCAAACAGCTGATAAAAACATCACAATAATCCACAAGTAATCCGCAGCACTCCAGTCCATCAGTTAACATCTGGAGAAGACAAAAGCTGAAACAAATCCAGCATTAAGACATTTTTAACTTCAATACATTGAGTACATAATCCATAATAACGCTTCCTCCAGTGAAAAAGTGCATCTCGTGTTGTCTCTCGCATCAAAATCCAAACACATATGTGTTTAGAGCTGTTTAGGATTGTAAACAGTGCTCGACATCTACATATTACATTAAAAACGTCTTGATTGATTGATGATTGGTTTCATTCTGACGGCACCCATTCACTGCAGAGGATTCATTGACGAGACTGCGATGGAATGATGCATTTCTACAAACCTGATGAAGAAACAAACTCATCTACATGCTCTAAGGATGAGGACATTTTCAGCAAATGTTATTTTTTGGGTGAACTATTGCTTTAATGTGATGCATATTCGCCCAGTCATAGATAAATGAAACGGGCACAACTAACTAAAATAAATGCAATTAAAATGCATTTATTCAAATTGCTTAGAATCAGCGTAAATCTGTTCTTTCTGAGAACTATTTATTCAGTTAAAAAGTATGAAAAAGTGATTAAAATACAGCTAGCTGTAGAACAAGCAATATTCAATTACCGGTAGTTAAAATGTATGAGATTGAAACAATTTGGATTTATTGATGCTAAATATATAAACCTGGTTTTTGTGTATTTAAACACATTCATTTTATTAATATTATTACAGAAATACAGCTATGACTGACAAATACGCCTCACATTAAGTTTATGTTAGTAATCCAAATGGATGGAAATAATATCTGCAATTCAAATACATAAATCTTAAATTTAGGCCGAAATATAAATGTTTTTACTCCAATGTCTGGGAGGAGCAAAACTACCAAATTAATTATTGATGACATCGGTAAGTATTTATCTCATTTGTTAATTCCATTCAAAACCATTGTGTTAAACTAAGCTGTTGAACAGTAATGTATTGAGAATTAAACACTTTCTGTTTAATGGCTTGACTAACCATTACTTCTTACAGAGGTGAAAAGCACATTTTTGTTGTGTATTTACAATAGGCTTTAGGCACGTGTTAGTTATTACAGATGAATAACATGTCGATAATATTGTTTATGATTATCTTAACTTCTGCATAGCAACACACTCCCCATTTTAGTAATTGCGGAATCAATAAATAAAATTAAATATATGATTACTTTTATAACGTCGTTTATATTCGTTCAAAATTGTGTATTATGTTATATTTTAATGATTTGTGTGCACCTTAAATACTAAAATAATTATGACTTTATAGCAAATCTGACATTACACATTAAACGGACTGCATCGGTGTATAAAACAACATTAACCAAGATGACTAAATGCTGTAAAATATCAAATGAATGAAAGAAATAAGGGACTAATGGCGATGAAATTCAATTATTCTGCTAGCCGATGTTGTGATAAAACCGAAACAACGCGAGAGAAAACTGCGTTTAGATCACGTGATCCGGAAGATTGATCACATGACCGCGGAGACGACAAAGAGTTTTGGAATATTGAACGAGGTTTTCTTAGTTTGGTTATTTATGCAATAAACGTTCTTATAATTGCATTGCATTGGAGTAAGCTATGAAGAAATCTGATGCAGCACTAGCAGCTCCTCGTAAGTAGCAGACTGACAGAATAACAAAAAATCAACATAAGATGATGCTGCTCTATCTCATATTTGATAGAAACAAGCTCACAAAGTGCAAGATAACGCTCAGACAAACCCATGTGTCCAGTTACATCAAGAGAGTACTGAACAATGATTCTAAAACAATTATAAAAACGTCCAAATGACAGATGGTCAGTTTAAGCTGCAATGACTTAATATGCAGATTTTGGTGTTTTATAACCAATATTTTTTTTCTGTACTTTTTTTTAATTCACCTCCATATTTGTATTTAATATGTTTGTATCTGTGTCATGTAAAGTATGCTATTCACTGTAAAGATATAAATGTATGCACATAAAGACTGATTCTCTATATCCACATTACAGTGATGTAAATAAATGTATGCATGTGTAAATTAAGTAACTTTTTGTGTTTTTCTTTAGGTTTCAACACCACAGTGATCACAATTTACACCAGTTCATCAGTGAATGCTGAATATTTCTACCATCTGGTCAACTAGGGAAAAAAATTATAGTGTAATATTGTACAGGTGGAGTTTATTAAAGAGGAGACTGAAGACATGAGTGATGCAGAATCATCCCAAATAAAAAATGACGATGAAAACAAGGAACAAAGAGGTTTGTGTACACAATACATCAAACACAGAGATATATATATAAAAAAAAAAGGATTAAACTCTGATGCTTGTGATGCAAATCAGTGAGAGCTTTTATAACAGTGCAGCAGATGCTGACATACAATGATCTAAATATCAGTCGTGGCTCTATATCTCCAGTAATCTGTCTCAGTAAGATGAGAGTGAAATGCTCCAAACATATAATGCAGTGATTGAGAGCTGAAGAAATAAAGGCTCCTCAGAAGATGTGAGATGTTCTGGAGGCTTGTGAAGATCATTCCTCCGCTGAGGAACAGTGAAAGTAAAGCTTCTGGAAACAAACGCTCCTCAAAAGATCCTGAGGATCAGATTTGAGACTCTAAAACATGATTGATGGAGAATCAAGTAAAGCTGAGCTGCTTCAGTCCAGTAAGAGTTCATCTGGAGATATTACTGCAGTTATTCTGACCTTTACTTGATCAAAATCAGTCAAGATTTGACACGAGAAGCTCCAGCTGAAGCTGGATGCTTGTACAGTTACACTAAAAGAGCTTTTACTGGATAAAAAACTGAGATTGTTTTAGATTGTGCAAAGTTCAATCATGTTGATCATTTAGAGAAATTTTGAAAAATAAAAAATGATACAGCAGGCTTTATAGGGTTAAACAATGATAAATGCATTATTATAGCCAAGTAGATCAAAATGGTTACGTGACATCTGTTTTTTTTACAAACAATTTATTTTGTTCATTTTAGACCCATCGGAAAAGACGGATGAAAGTGAAGAACCGAATGAAGCGCCGTGGAACCGTGAATCAGACCATCAGTATCAGAAACCTCAGCAGATCACAGCTGGAGAAAAATCCTTGAACATCGGCCAAGAGCGAACTAAAGGAAGCGAAGCCCGGCCGTTCACGTGCCTTCAGTGCGGGAAGACCTTCAAGCGGGCCACGGATGTTAAAGGTCACCTGCGCTATCACTCGGGCGAGAGACCGTTCACCTGCGACCAGTGCGGGAAAAAATTCATCCTGGCGTCGCACTTGAAAACGCACCTGTCCATCCATTCAAACGAGAAGCCTTTCTTGTGCTCTATCTGTGGCAAGAGTTTTTCGCGCCTCTGCACTTTCAAAGATCACGAGAGCATCCACAGCGGCGTGAGAGCGCACGCTTGCTCCGAGTGCGGCAGCGCCTTCGTCACGGCCAACGCACTGAAGATGCACCAGCGCGTTCACACCGGAGAGAAACCCTACACGTGCTCGCACTGCGGCCGGAGCTTCAGTCACTCCGGAGCGCTGAAGAGACACGAGCGCGTGCACACCGGTGAGAGACCCTACCACTGCCCTCTCTGCGGCAGGAGCTTCACTCAGTCCAGCAATCTGCTGACCCACGTCAAGAGACACTGTCCGAAGTCACGCTGATCAAACCAGGACCACATGTGAACACAGTGACATTCAGAAGGAGATGCAATAATCACCAGGTAGTCTAGGGATGTAACGATTAACCGCGAGCCGGTTGAAAATCGATTCAAATCGGTTGAGATGCTAAACAAAGCAGTTGAGTTTATATGAATATAATTTATATGTCTTTAGAAAAGTTTAGATGGTATTTTTTCTTTTCCTCTTGCCTCTGTATAATGCATATTAAAGTTCATAAGTGCAGCATTATGATTACCAGCAGCTGAATGGTTGCATACAAGCTGTTTATGTGTCAGCTGGGGTTATAGATCTAAATATTTAATTGAAATGTTCTTTACAATATTGATTCTTATATTGACAATTTGATGTTTTTTGCTTTCAGCTGTCCATGCATTTTTTGACACACTTTTTGATACTGACTCAGTAAACTATTTTTTTTTTTAAAGGATAAACAGGGTTTTTTCCTAACCCAAGCAATTATTATTACTATTATTAATATTCTGTTTTCCCATCTAGTCATCATCAAGTAAATGTAGCTCTCAAAAACAGTATGTTGACTACAGTTTTGTGTAACATTTCATTAGTCATTTAGCAGACGCTTTAATCCAAAGCGACTTACAAATGATATTAATAATATCTATCAAAACCAACAAAAGAGCAACAATATGCAGGTGCTATATTAGTATATTATTCTAGTGTTATATTTCAATTTCACAAAGAAACGTGCAGCATTTTATCCAAGCAATTTATAATTTGTCTTAAATCGTTGTCGCGAATCGTTACATCTCTACCAGTTACAATAGCCAATGTGGTCACATTGTTTTTATATTTCTGTTTACATGCTCTTAATCACACCGATTAAAGTGTTAAGTGTATGCTTGATTAATTGAGCACATCAGTTTTGATAGATATTATTAATAGTCAGACATTATGAGCGATGGCTCTTTGTCTCAAAAGAGCAGTGCTGGTCGATTAATTACAAACTGTAGTCCATTATGATTACAGATGATGAAAAACAACGTAATTTTTCTGACTACTTTTTGGAATACTTTTTTTTTATCTAACTTGTTTTAAACTTACCATTAAATGTATCATATTGATATAAAAAAGCAAAGGGCAAGAAAATATATTCCACTTTTTCATATCAACATCATGAAATGCGTCAAACATGACTTTACACCAGGGTTTCCCCAAACTGGGCTTAATGTTAGTGGGCTTGAGAGTTGTTAAAAAGCTAATAATTCATTAAATCATACAAATGTCAAATGAAGTTAATTATTTAAACACTTAAACGATAACAATATAAATACTGAATTTGTTTACCTGCACGTCAATGTGACTATTAATCAGAATCAGAGAACTATAAACATGCAAATGTGTTGTTAAGTTATTGAAGTATTAACTTCCTTAATTTCAAACACGACGTGTGAACAAAGCCATGAGAATAATGCTGGATATGTGAACAGCAGGTGGGTTTTAATGCAGTTTAAAGGAATATTCTGGTTTCAGAACATGGTAAGTTCAATCAACAGCATTTGTGGCATAATTATCATCACAAGACATTAACAAACATTGCGTTTTTACAGTTAAACAACTGAAACGAACATGAGCTGATCTGTTAACATTAAAATACTCGTTGTTTCAGGAGTACAGCCGAGATGTAAACAATGTGTTAACATAACTTTAGTGTGACCAACTAGTTCTTGATTAGCCTATACCTGATTAAAGTTATAAATTAATTAAGGTTAGCATGTCTCATTAAACATTAATTCTGACAGATGTTATTAACTCACCCTCATGTTGTTCCAATCCTGCATGAGTTTATTTCTTATGCTGAAAACAAAAGAAGATATCTTGATATTTGTATGTTGTAAAAATAAATAAATAAAATGTTTATTCATACTTATTTATTAGTATCATACACAAGGACAAGAGAGAAGGATTTGGGGATAGTAACGGAGGAATGAGTCTGGACTAAAAGCCTTTAGCACTTTAGTAAAGTAGGATACTACTGCATCAGAACACAATATATAGCATGCATAATAGCCACGTTGTAGTTATTTGTGGTAAATAATTCTTAATTCATGGCCACATTTTTTTTAATGTCACGCCCAGGCTCCATATAAACGAGGCTATTTACTAAAACAGGAACTAATTCTTAATTTGTGGCCATGCATATATTACATTTATAATATCATTTGCAATGTTTGCCTAGTTTTTTGTTAAAAAAAAGTTTCAAAACTCTGGATTGAAATCTGTAGACAGGCAAATTTCTTGAACTTTAAAGATTTTCTTCCCTTGTTCCCCTAGACTTGTGTTTGACTCATGAAACGCCACTGCTGTGACTGTTAAACTCAATGCACTGCAATTCAGTTTCATTTCCCATTTATTGTCTTTCCGATTCAAATTCCACATCAACATCCTTGGGATGTGGAAAAATGTAATTAATGAAAACATACACATTATGGTACACACACACACACACACACACTCTCTCTCTCTCTCTCTCTCTCTCTCACACACACACACACACACAATTATGAAAGTGCAATATACACTGTATGTGACTTCTGTTGGAAAAATGTAAACACTTTCATTCTGGCTTCTAATAGTCATTATAAAACCAAATACAGTGGTTGCTGCTTGAAGGTCATAGTGTAACTGGTAATAAAGTGCTGATTTGGTGTGTTAGACACTGTTTATATACACTCTACTGACCTCGAGCTATATAGATAAACTGAAGAAGGCCACTTCCTATGTCACATATAGACAAATGAGAGATGATTTCATTACAGTAGTAATTTTAATTAAAAAAAAAACAATGTTTTTAATTAAAAACATACAAACAAGTGACAAATGAATAGACAATCCACAGGGTAGCTGTTATGCACTGACAAGCATTCTGCTAACATCATGGTTTGGGTCCCTGCAAACCGATATAAAGCATAGATGAAACATGGGATTGTGTCCCATTCACACAGATCACAGTCACCAGATCTGAAGCCAGAGGGAAAGCAGCACTCTCCAACAACATCATCATCATCAAAACACCAAATGAGGAAATATCTTTTGGAAGAAGAGTCATTCATCCCTTCAGCACACTCTGAAAAATCAAGCTTTCACAGTGATGCCACAGAAGAACCATTCTGGACTCCTCAAAGAACCTTTTCACTGATCAGTTCTTAAGAAAACCATTATTTTCTTGGTGTAAAGAACTTTTTAACAATCTGAAGAACCTTACGTTCACTATAAAGAACCTTTTGTGCAATGGAAAGATTTCATGAATGTTTAAGGTTGTTAAACATCCATGTATATGTCAATAAAGCCATCCATCCAGCGTTATCAATAAACAACCTTTAATTTTAAGACATTAGAGTCAATGCCAAAATGCATTGAAGCTCTTTTGGTGGCCCAACACCATAAAATACACTTTATGTTGGTTTTTCTTTGGATATGTCACTATCGTATCTTTATCATCATCTCATTTCGCTACAGCAGAATTATCCACACACTGGATTTGGCAGCGGATTTATATTCTATTGCCCTAAACCAACCCTACACCTCACAGAAAACTACAGGCATTTTAACATTTAACATTCTGTATGATTTATAAGCTCAAGTCAGTGTGCATTCAGGTTTAAGTCCTGAAAAAAAATCATAAAGCATCTAAGAATCATGACAAGTGAAATATAAAGGCTGATTCAACTGATCAAAAACAGGAAAAAGGCACTTTGCAGGAATCTATTCTGAGCTCAGGGTACGTTTACACGAAAACGATGCACTAAAAACGGAAAAGTTTTAGAAAAGTTGTCAACACGATCCCTGCTCACACGAATCCGTGAAAACGACCAAAAACCCATGGCAGGTTAATAGATGTGTCTTTGTGAAGAAACGCTACACAAACATGAGATACGCATGCGCATGACCTCACCGCTTTCACAAATTTGTGTTTTTGTAGTTTACAGAGAGACAACAACAATATCATTATCAAAAACTTGCCATTTGAATCCCATTTTAAAAGTTTGCATTTTCAAGGCATTTGTGCAAATTAACGATTTCCCATTTTTGTTGTAAGCGGTGTCGTGGAAATGTCCTCTCAGATCAAATAACTTTTGTGCAATGATCCATTCACAGAATTGCAATCATTATGCCGTCGCATCCAACACCATGATACAGTGATGAATGTTAGGCTGTCAAAAATACTGCACGTCTTTGTAACGCTTCACTGTTTGAGGAAGGTTGTTAGAGTTGTATAAATGCCCCGTAACCCAGTGTAATTATGACACAAGCACAAGGTGGCGTTTCAAGGCACTCCAGCGGTGTGTTGAGACTTCAGCAGCAGCTGCAGGAGGACGCTGGGTTTGATGCAGCCCTCCAGCGCACGGCACAGTTTACCCATGGTGATGCCCAGCAGACCCTCCTTCATCTTCCAGCGCTCCAGAGTCTGGTGCACCTTCTCTGCCAAGCCGTCGCGGTCGTAGTCATGCTCGACCGTGTCCACGTCTATGTCTGACAGCCCCAGTTTACGAGCCACCTGCTTCCAGTTTCCACCCACGTTCTGACGCACGACCTCCAGGTGGCTCTCAGTGACCGTGTGCTCCTCTGATCATCACAACACAATCAAACAGAGAAAATCAAACACATCTGGCACTAATAAAGCAATGAGAGTTCAGGCAGGACTACTATAAAATGAGGGCTTTATTAAGGCGAAGCACTACAGCCAAAAAACATGCATTGGTCAATTTTGAGATTTTGGGCTATGTGGCTTTCCATAAACTGTTGTTTCAAATTAGCGTAAAGAAAACATCCAAAATACACTTTTAGGTGTTGCTTTAATTGCACTTTATCTATTTGCATCTGTAGCTACAGTCTCTACTTCAGCAGCACTTACACACGCGAAACCTTACATGTTTACTTCTATTTTCTGAAGGTTTTTAGAGAGAGATTTGTATATAATAATAATAATAATAATAAATAATTTGCATATATAATTAACATTTTATTCCTAAAAAAAACTGATTTTTTTTTTTCTGGCTGGAGTGATAAAAAGACAAATCCAAAATCCCCTCTGTGAATACCTTTAATATGTCCCCCCCAAAAAATCTAATAATTCAGTGTTCAGATTTTTGTTCTGGAAATGTATGCAAATTAGTGCTTATTTAATTAGACAGCAGCTCACTGAAACAGAGACAGTCTTACCGTACTTCAGCAGAAGCTTGTTATATCTGGTTCTGTTGCTGGATCCGGTGGATAACGAGCTGAAGGAGCTGTTATCAGACACTCGCAGATTCATCGTGTTGTAACTCCCGATCTGAATGGCACTGGCATTCGAGATGGTCACAGGCCACCCTAATGGAATACCAAACAAATCAGGAGAAAATGTTATATTATGTATGTATATCTATATACTGTATATATATATATATATATATATAGATACATATAGATATAGATAATTAATATAACTACCCAAACTTATGTTATTAGCTCATGTCTCATTCACCTCTGAGAAAACAATACAGTACAACGCGCATAATAATACAATAATAAGGCCTTCTATTCTCGCTCGATCTGCAATAGCGCAATGAACGCACTGATGACGTGTCTGACGTGCACTGAGGTATGCAAATACATACGTTGACAGGCTTGTATAACAGCCTATCGTAATGTTCAGACCGAGGGATATGATTGGACGAACATTTAATGGTTCTACGCCTTGCACAGACAATATAAATGCATTTAAATAAACCACTTTAGACTTAGTGATTGCTATCGGAGTCGGCTATTTTTAAAAATCTTCAACTTATTTCATTCAGTTAGTTGCCTAGGCAACATTTATAATTTTCTATCAGTTTAACTTGTAGTACTAAAAATAAATAAATAAATACAAGTTAACAAAAACTATACAGACATAATAAAAACAAAAAAAAACTAATACAATTTACAAAAACACACAACAAAACTACCAAAACTTTTACTAAAATAAAATTAAACGAAATATCATTCCAAAATATTAACAAAAATAATAGTTTCCACCTTATTTTTCAATGCGGAAGTAAACCGTTTTCTGTGAATGTGCGAGATTTCAGGTTCGTTGGCCGCGGTTGGGAAATAACAAGAAGAATAACAAAGTGCAGTAAATGGTAAAACTGTTTGTACTGCAAACCATAATCATCGCTGAACTGCATCTTACACATTTTCAGCTCATCAGCGCTGTTTCCGTAACGCAGAGAGACCACTTGTGCTCGGTTGCCAGGTTGGAAAGATTAAGTAAATCACTGGGAAGATTATGTATCCTTTTATGAAAAGTAGAGATGCACCGAAATGAAAATTCTTGGCCGAAGCCGTAGCCGAACAAAATGAAACACGGTTTTTCGCTTTTTTCCCCTCCCATGTACTGTATTTTGCCATTTTTTTCACCATTGCATAAATTAAAATTAAAAATTAAAAATGTGCTTTCTACTGTTTTTTTCCTGCTTTTCAAATAATAAAAAAAAAATTACAAAACAACAATTTCAAAAATATTTACTTAACACTGAACATTTTTAAACATTCTAGCAGACATTATACCAACAAAGCACAATTTAACTTAAAATTAATAAGTTAAAGTTAAGTAAAATAATATTTTTTTGGCAATTTTAAAGACCCCCTTCTTGAATCAGGCATGCATTTTTACTGTACAAATAAATGCAGCCTTGCGGAGCAGAAGAGACTGCTTTTAAAACATGAGAATATATTACAGATCCCAGTTTGAACACTATGTGTGAATGTTATAATAAATGAATTAGCCTAATAGAGCTGGGTAATTATTATTATCATTATTAATGTTTTACTTTTTTATTATATTTTACAGAACGACAGTAAAATTACAGCATTTATGAACGTTGATGGAGTTGTTGCTTTTTCTCAGCTTTTATTTTGGCAGAAACCCGCAGGAATATCTCAGTGCTTCTTTTTGTTGACAACAGCAGATTTATGAATGATTCTCATTACGAATTTGGGAAGATGTTTTCCGCACATATCACATTGTCACATGCCTTCAAAAAAATTAATAAAAATGTGACTGAGCAATTAATGATTTCTGCGTCTTTCTCTGACAGTTTTAAATACTTTCACACTGCAGACACGTTGGCTGCATTTGTGCGCGCCTCTATTTGATCACGTCACGTCATTGTTCGGTACAATTTATTTAGTCTTTTCGCTTATTCTGCCGAACACCGAAAGAGCTTTTTTTGCTATTTTGAGCCGAATAATTTCAGTTGCCGAACATTCGGTGCATCCCTAATGAAAACAGCTCTTATTGGGGGATTTATCTATTGAAATCTGGCAACTTATTGCCAGCTATTTTAACTATTTTCCTGTTTATCACTGCTTTGATACAATCTGTATTGTATAAAGCAGTGGTTCTCAAACCGCAGTCACACCTTTTCTATTAAAGGACATTATTTGCCCCCTTAAATTGATTTACAGGTGCATCTTTTTACCTTTATAGAGGCAAATATTTGCTATCTTTATTAATTGTATGTCATGTTTTATGTCATATTCTTAACATTCCATTAAGTGTATTATTAATATAATAAATAAAGCAATAAATGAGGGCAAATCGAAGTGCCACTTGTAGACTTAAAAAATAAAACCGCCAATAGGTGTGAGGTAAGCTGATTGGATATCATGTATTTGACCGGAACTAACATTTTCCTGTTTTTACATTAGAAGTGCATTTTGCTTGTCAGAAATACATGTTCGATATTAATGTTACTTTAAGTTGGGGTAGAATTAAATGAATGCCAAAACTCAGAATTTTGTTCGTCACCTCACGTACCCCAGTTTGAGAACCACTGGTATAAAGCACTGCAGAAATGACTTGTTAGTTGTGAATTGTTAACTGTACCCGAGTCAGATGGAGGACATACGACAGGTGATAAACGCAGGCCAGGCTGTGAATCCAGCATGAAAGACTCCGCTGCATGAGATGCACTATCTGGACAGGACTTGATGCCGAATGTGACCTCCGGAGGGCGCAGCCTTCTAAATGAGACACAGCTTATGTCTTCAAAGTAACATACACCTTTGTTTACTTCTGTCTGTTGCTCGGCAACCACTTTGTTGCAACCACAACTGTTTCTGAGGAGCTACATTGTTTGGTGGAAGAATACTGTTTTTATTAATATCATTACACTTTATTTGCTCTGTTTTATTTTGTGAAACCTTGCTACGAATGTGGAATAACCGTTTTATAAAAGCAATAAGCCCCGTGAAGCCGTGGTTTACAGTGAATTTATAACAGCTACGGGGGTTTTAGGCACATCTAACAACGCTCCTTAGCTTTTATAAGTTCACTGTAAACCACGGCTTCATGGGGCTTATCGCTTTATTTTGTATCCAGGATGAACCCTCAAGGCTTCTACCTTTAAATGTGGGCCGGAGACGAGGGTCTTCATTCCAGCACGTCTTCATGAGCTCGATGACGTCTTGAGGAGTGTGTTGAGGGATCAGAGCTTCGTCGGGACGCTCACCCTGACACACACAGTGGCAGATCTGATCTTCACTCCTGGCATCTGAAAAACAACAAAAAAACATTTTCATTCACTACTAAACCTTGGTCTTGAGTTTGATACACTGCAAATATGAAATGGGGTCAAATATTAAAGAGCATTTGCATGCAATTAGGGCTGGGCGATCAGACCACCCTAGCAACTTTTCCTTCCAAAAGCACCTAGCAACACATTTTAAAAATGTATTTGGCAGCTTTCAGCAACTTTCGATAAGTGACTCAAATGATAAAAAGGCACACGTTTTCCATCTAAATTACACAAAAAGAGGAAACCAAAGATGCTTAGCAGTACACACAACACATGAATTAAGCTAGCTGCTATTTTCAATTGTTCAATTGAATAATAATTGAATAATTGAATAATTTATGATACACCTTGTTAGTAGCTTGTACTTGCAATTGTTGATGATTTAGTACACTGTAAGAAAAAATCTAGAAAAATTGAAAAGGTACTAGTAATTTTCCAGGACAAATCCGTTTTCCTTTATCTGTTTTAACCCTGTAACTCAAAAACACAAAATACAATGCGTGATTTAAAATCAGTACGGAAAATTCCTTCGTATTATATTCCTTCAACAGAAGAAAGCAACTCATACAGGTTCGGGACGACATGAGGGTGAATAAACGATGACAGAATTTTCATCTTTGGGTCAACTATGCCTTTAAGTAAACCACTGGGTAGAGGGGGGGGAGGGGATTTAAACTCTTGGCATCTGGCAACCGCAAACATGAACGCAGAATAATGCCAAATTACAATGTTCTCAGGATAAATAACCTTTGTATGCTTATACGCTAATTACGCTTAATAAATCAAAAGAAGTAGAAATCATGATGATGATCAAAATACAATTGTGTGGAAATTTTTCTTTGAGAAAGAAGAACTGTGCTGTTTAAACTGACAGGAATAATGAAAATTATTATTTTTTTTACATTTGATATATTTTCATTATTTTAGATTTATATTATAATTAATATTATTTCAGTCTGTTCCTTACAAAAAGCTATATACAACAGAATATGAAGAGTTTGTTTGCAAAAGCAGATAACTCTGTTTTTTTAAATCATGTTTTTATTGTGTTTTATTGTGTTAGTTAGCTGTGTTTTTTACCTAATCAGGGCCTCTTTAGTTTTTTTTCTTTGAGAAAGAAGAACTGTGCTGTTTAACCTGACAGGAATAATGAAAAAATTTTTTTTTTAATTTTATATATTTTTATTATTTTAAATTTACATTATAATTATTTTTTATTATTTCAGTCTGTTCCTTACAAAAAGCTATATACAACAGAATACGAAGAGTTTATTTGCAAAAACAGATAACTCCGTTTTTAACCATTTTCAGAAATCATGTTTTTTTATTATGTTATCATGTTTTCACTATGTTTTATTGTGTTAGTTAGCTGTATTTTTTACCTAATGAAAATAGCCCAACTGCAGTTTGATCGAGATTAATTGGAACGCATAGAAAAGAAAAAACACGATTTTTGAAAATGGTTAAAAACGGAGTTATCGGTTTTTGCAAATGAAGTCTTCGTATAGCACATGAGTGATATATATAGTAATTTTGTTATTATTGAGTCCGTTTTGTAACTCACATTGCAGCTAGTTAATCATGTTAATTAGTTAATCATGCGGTTCTGAAGCGAGACTCACTCTCATAGGGCTCGCGGCCGCTGAGGATGACCCAGACGACGATGGAGAAGCTGTAGACGTCAGATTTCTCGGTGGAGCAGGTGTTGATGCTCTTCAGGTGCTCAGGAGCCATGTAGCACAGAGTGCCAGCGGCGCGCGCACACGACTTCTTGCCCAGACCACTCTGTCTGCGAGACTCCTCTTTAGTCAGCTTGCTCCACACCTGAGACGTGGCCAGACCCAGATCCGCGATCTGACGCAGAGCAAAGAGCGTGCATGAAAATCCTTCACGTCAAATGTATTTCTATAGCGCTTTTCCCAATACACATTGTTTCAAAGCAGCTTTACAGAAAACCGTGATGTTAATGTTTATAATATCTTACAGTCGCATTTAGCAGATTAAAGCTGTGCGATAACAGAGGTTATATTTTGTAACGATACAAGCAATCAAGCAGCTGACATCTGCTATATAATATCACTAAATTATTATACTGGATGCATGCGGATAAAGTTGGAGGTACTATATATCCAACTTTATATATAGAGTTGTGCGATATTGTTTACATTTCACAACAACGTTTAGTTATTTAGTGTCATGCGTAAAGAACTCTAACAATAAATATTACATTTCAGCATTTTATCATCAGGCAGTTAAAGCAGACATTTATTTCCTTCTCTACTTGATGAGAGATTTACATATGCTCTCAGAAAAAAAAGCTACAAAAGCATTTGAAAAAGGTACATATGTGTCCCTGCAGCACAAAAGCAGTCTTAAGTCGCTGGGGTATATTTGTAGCAATAGCCAACAATACATTGTATGGGTCAAAATTATACATCTTTTATGCCAAAAATCATTAGGATATTAAGTAAAGATCATGTTCCATGAAGATATTTTGTAAATTTCCTACCGTAAATATATCAAAACTTAATTTTTGATTAGTAATATGCATTGCTAAGAACTTCATTTGAACAACTTTAAAGATGATTTTCTCAATATTTAGATTTTTTTGCACCCTCAGATTCCAGATTTTCAAATAGTTGTATCTCAGCCAAATATTGTCCTATCCTAACAAACTAACTTATTTATTCAGCTTTATTCAGATGATGTATAAATCTCAATTTAAAAAAATTGACACTTAAGACTGGTTTTGTGCTCCAGGGTCACATATTTGTAACTTATTTTACCCTACAGGCTGCATATTATACTTAAAATTACATATTAGTACCTAAAGTGTACATATTAGTAACTAAATGGTACATTTTAGTGCCTTTAGGTATCGCCCCAGTGAAAAGACTTTTCAATTCTTTTCTAATTCTTTTCAATAATGTCAACATTTAGCTTTTTCAAAAAGTGTGTACTGTGGTGAATTCAGAGAGACGTTTCATACTTTAATGTGGAAGTTCTTGTCCACCAGGATGTTCTCTGGTTTGAGATCTTTGTGAATGACTTGGTTCTCCGTGAGATAAACCATCCCCTCCAAGATCTCCAGAACGATCCGTCCTTTCACAGATATCGGAACAGGCACCTGGAGCAACAGATATGAGCAAAATATTAAAGACATCAAAAAGTGGCACATTTCCAAAGTGAAGAGGGATTTCACTGCAAATAGAGGAGTTGTTTATTTGCACGCTCTGTCTGTGGATCTGTCGATTCACTAAAGGAATTATGCAAATCGGGTAATGAAGCAAACAATGTTGATATACTAGTGCATGCAAGGGACAGCAGGTGGGTTGTGAATACAGTGAATGCATTTTGCACATTAAAGACACATTGTCTGATTTTTTTCTGCATTTACATCAAGATACCAATAATGTTACAGATTTTGATTTTCAAATAGTTTTTATTGTAAACTTGAAAGCACATTCATGTTTATGAACAATGAACCCTTGTGCATCCTTAGTATCAGTTTGGCTGCAAACAGGATAAATTTAGTCAAAAAATTTGCATTTGTATTGAAATTGTCATATTTTCTCATAAATATATTTTTACACTAGGTACAAAATAGTTAAGACCTTAAGGACAAAAATGTCACAATATTTAATCCCAGTGCCATTGAGCATAACAACATGCATTCTTTGCCAAGGTTTCAAAATGTGTACTATTTTAAAATATAAATCTACTGTTTTCATTATATAAATGTGTGTACTGAGAGATGTGTGCGTTTGAATGGTAGCTTTTGTTTTAATCTGACACTGCATCAGAATGAATGTTGTTGCTAATTCTTGGACTGTAATAATCCAAAGAAAAAAATATGCTTAGCATTTAGTATATGGAAAATAATTTATGTTTTTTTTTTCACAAAAAAAAACAACAACAGTGACATTATGTAAACAAACTGACATTTAAATGGTTAAAATCCTGAAAATAAACCATATTTTTATGATCAGCACTGATGTTGGTAAAAAAGAAAATCTATGTCAGTGAAAGCCGAAAAACATATTCAAATATAATATTTTTATGACATGGACTATTTCGTCAAAGGACCTCTGTGTAATGTTTTTAAACTGATGCACAAGGGCTAATACTGTTTTTTGCACAACTGTTTTGGTGTGTTTTTTGGACACTGTGTTCACAACACAGACATGTGAAACTTCACGTGTATTTTGGCATAAAACAGAGTCTGCCGTTACCGTCTCCAGCATGCTGAGCAGGTTTCCTTTAGGAATGAGCTCCATGACTAAAGAATAGTCTCCGTCTTCCAGAATAACCCCCAGCAGCTTGACCACTCGCTGATGGTTTAACCTGCTCATCAGGCTGCCTTCATCCAGAAGACACTGCTTCTGCCGGCTGACAGACACACATTCAACTCACTCAGTTTACACAACATCTGAAGCTCAAAGTCACGAGCAGTAACGCATTACAAGTAATGCGACTTACGGAATCAGATTACTTTTTAAGTAACTAGTAAAGTAACGCATTACTTTTTAATTTAGAAGGAAATATCTGAGTTACTTTTTTCAAATAAAGTACACCGTGGCAACACCAGAGCTGTCAGTCAATACATGGAAACAAAGTAATTGGCGTGTTACTTTGTTTCCATGTGTTGAGTGACAGCTCTGGTGTTGTCATGGTGACAGAAATCAGGAGTAAGTGCAGAGCGTTGTGTGTGAACATGATCTTACTGTAGTTCTAGACTCAATGTCAACATGTGTTCACTCATCTCGCTGCACACAAACACATTCAGTGTTCCTCAAAATCAAATATAATAAAATAAGTCAAATGCAAACTCAGAATATGACGCAAACGTGCATTAATTAAATACGTTAAATAACACAAATATACTTTAATCCTATTTTATTAACCAATATCTTTGCTACTGACCTTCGATGATCCAATTCAACCATACTAATAAGCAAAAATGACACATTTATGTTTTATTTGTGTTATTGCGGAATAGTGTTGGACTTTCTTCTCCTGCGTCATATTCTTCATGTGTTTCGTTCTCTACTGTACAGACGTGAATGTACTTTTCCTTCAGCCTGAGGCTTATTCATTTCACTTCTGTTGTGAAAGAACTTTTACTTTTGTAGAACCTTTTTATATCAAAAACAAACAAGCAAGCCCCGCCCAGATTTAAAAAGTAACATAATGCATTACTTTCCATAAAAAGTAACCAGGTAACGTAATTAGTTACTTTTTTTAAGGGAATAACGCAATATTGTAATGCATTACTTTTAAAAGTAAGTTCCCCAGCACTGGTCTCGAGCACTCACCCGTTGCGCGGCGGGCCGGTGTAGACCGTCTTCAGCACCACCTGGCCCAGTGTTTTGTGGTAACACAGGTAAACTTCCCCAAACCCTCCATAATCCAAAGGCTCTTTCTTGATCAGATCTGCTGACTTCATAAGACTCAGGCTCGCAGCTGCAGCCATAGTTCCTCTCTTAAAGACAACTTCCCTAGAGCAACACAAACATGTGACAGATCAGACAAACTCCACAATGAAACCCAGAGTTATGTGAAGTGCGGAAGAAGAACATTCTGTCGGACAAAACTATTTGCATATTTGACGATCAAACATTTGAATGAAGAGCCGCAGACGAAACTGCAGTTCAGAGAAACACATTAGAAAATAAATAGATATTCGAAAGGTTGTATATGGCATTTCTGCTTTCCATTTCCAACACGGATAATAATCAGTAACAACGCAACTTTTTCTTCGTTAGTTGACTTTTGATTTCTCCTACTACCGAAAAAAAAAACATCTTTAAAACTGTTCAGAAACACGATAGTAAATAAGTGTAAGACATACCGTGTAACATAACGCCTATATTCACTTCTCCTTCGCTTCCTGGATATTAGGTTACAAAGTGAAAGTAAAAATCAGGAAGACAGAAATAATCAGCAGCAGAAAACCAGATCACCACGACGCATTTTAATCTAGCGCTAATAGTTTATGAAGGTAACTGTTCAACAAATAAATATTAAAAAATTGCTTTTCTAAAAAAAAAAAAAAAGAAAAAAAAAAAAA